GGGTCATAACACTTGTGTACTTATTGTTGTTTTACATGATTCAAAAGTGATATCCTAACAGCAGAAAAGATAGCTTTGACATTAACGTGAAGAGACATGAGAGCTGTTCAGATACACGCTCTGAAGCATGTTCGGATCAAACTGTATCATTTATTAGAATATTTGCCAGGTGCTGTTGGTATAATATTATATTCCAACTTGAAAACGGCACCTAAAGACTACATCATATTCACACACCAGTTGGAGGAGAGGGCACAGCAGATGGGTCCATTGCTCATCACAACGTCCACTTGTTCTAAAGGGGAAAGCGGGGGCCTCCGACAGCATGCCTTAAGTTGTGTAATAGGCTTCTAGTGTCACAAATGAAAGTCACACATGGATTTTTTTTTTCTCAGGTTGCTTTTCCCCTGATTTTTGGACTGAATGCTTTGTTTCACACTGTTCCACATCACTGTGGATATAAATGGACTACAAGGCAACTGTATAATGTAAGAGAATATAATCTTGTAGAGGAACATAATGCATGCACGGATCCTAAAATTCTGATATTGAACAGTATTGATAACTATTATCTCACTCTCTAATCCCTCAGTAGTTACCATGGCAGCTGGCATGCAGTTTTTTCCAGATATAAAATCACAGTCTGTGTTATTTGCCTCTATAATTTTGAGCTGAATTTCGAATTGCCCCTCACTGACAGCTGTCTTCTTTTTATGATCACTTTGTTGCATGTGTGAAAAATCCCCTAGTTGTGTTTTACCAAAGCACCTATTTCATTTCTGCCCACCACGACTGAGCCATCACTTCATATTACAGGTCAACGTTACGGTGCTTAATTATGTGCCGGCTGCTTGGGGCTTCTAATAACCTGTCATTGAGGGGAATTTGAATGTCACACCATATTGTTGGGCCCTAATGGCAGCAGGCAGATCCACTGATGAGCCGTTTTGGGACAATTACAGCGGATATTCAAATCATAGATCTGGGTGTGTGATGGACTGCACCGCACACCAGCTGACAGTGGTAGACCAGTGGTATACATGCCCGCGCACGCCCACGCACTCGCGCACACACTTGTTGTATCTTGACCCTGCAATCCACCTCTCTTGACACATAAAGAAGCTGCCTCCCCCCGCTGCTGCTGAAACTGTTTAACTGTAGCCTGGTCGCTTTTATTATCCGCCTAATCCAGATATCAGCGATTTCATCAAGCCGGGAAGATATGCATATCATGAATTATTTTGACACTGGGACCTTTTAATTTTCGCCGGCAATATTTCATCCCACCAATCAGCGCCTGGAGTCGTTGTTAGCCGGGCGGACGTGGCGGTGTCAGAGGACGAGACTCCCCCCGGATGATTTGGATCCGCCGTGGGGACAGTAATGAGCTACGGCCACAATTATCAGATGCCTGTGTGTGCCTGCATTTCATCAAGGCCCCCATGCAAGCTGCTGCAGGAGGAGGAGGAGCACGCACAGAGATGGCCTGCACCATGCAAGAAATCTGCATCTAAGATTGGATTTGTATAAACAAATAAATCAACTGAAGAGTTGAACTAAAGAGTTCAAGTGGAGAGATGCAAAGTAAACCTGCGCGATTACATTTTTAGGAGTAGGCCACTTAACTGGAAGCCTCAAGGCCTACTAGCCTATTTCACTAAGTAGTTTTAATTCACTAAGTAGTTTTAAGAAGAAAAAACTGGCCCTTTGTTTGGTAGATGTACAGTAACTTAGTACAGTTAGTGAAGTATTGTACATTAATAGGTTACAACTCCGAGTTGACTACTTGCACTTTACTTGAATACTTTCTTTTATGCTGCTTCAGGGCCTATAGCTTCACAACACTATATGGAAATATTGTTCACCTAGTTAGCAACAACACTAGGCTTATTAGGTTGTTTGTGACATAAGATTTTACACACGCTATGATGAGTTTTAAAAAATGCGTTTTACCACTAACCCCCCTGCAATGTAAAGCTGTTGATCAGCTACTGTAAAACACCGAAATGCTGCTTATTAAATGTTAAAGCATTTTTATTCATGATAAAATATTATGTGATACTATAACACTGACAGGGGCCAGTGTGTTCCGTAATAAACTGTTTTATTTATAATGCTTAAAAGTTATTTTTCCTGGGGAAAAATCAACATGTTTTGAGCACCTTCACATTGCAAAGGAACAGAATATTCCTTCCAGTATTACTTCTCGTAGGCCATTTTATGTACAAAGCATATAATTACCTTACAAAATGTGAAGCATTGTTATAGATCACACTACAAACAGTAGGTAAAAATCATCACCATGCAGCAACACTGTGCTTACATGCCTCAATAAAAATTTATTTATTGTATTATACCATTGATTTATATGTTCTACAACTTTTTACTTAAAATATATCTTAATACAGAACTTTTACTTGTAATGGAAACATTTACATTGTGGTACTCAATATTTAGCTGGCACTTTCTGATAAGACGCCTTTCATAGAGAAATTATAAGTTCTAATTGGTTTTATTTATTCCTGATATAATTTATCAATGCTTTATATAAAGTGATTACAAGCTATTAAGGGCAACCTTTGGGCTGCAACCTAACCCTTTAGCATCAGGCCTGATGGCTTGTTAGAAAGTAGGAAACCTGATCATTTACAAGCAAACTGAAAGAACTTTTTCCAGCCTGGTGACCTACAATGTGCTCAACTCAAGTCAAATGAAATTTTATTTATATAGCCCAATATCACAAATCATAAATTTGCCTCAAGGGGCTTTACAATACAGTATGTACAGCATACAACACCCTCATTAGACCACAACACTGTATAAACGTTTATAAAAAACATGTTCCTGGAGGACCAGCCAGCTTCCAGGAGCCTCTAACTGACCCATGACGACCTCTCCCCCAGACAAAGACCTGAGCACAGACGACATCAGAGGCAAAATCCAAACATCATTCATACAGTATATTGAAAGGAAACAGAGACACAATTACAGACAAAGGAGTGGGAGAGGGACAAATAAGAAGCAATCACACAATTACAGACAAAGGATAAAATAAGTGGGAGAGGGACAAATAAGAAGCAATGACTCCTGAAGGACAAAGATCAACATCCAGACTTCTGAACAAGCACCAACAACCAGAGGAGAGAGCGGTCCAAGGACACCTGAAGGTCCAGCACCTGAATGACAGAGGACAGGGAGGAGAGGCACACAACTTGGACTGCCATGTGCTCTAAACAGAGGGTTCTTATCAAAGGCTTATAACTGATTTCCAACTGTAAAACATCAATAAAGTAGTAGCAATACTTCCACAGTGGAATTGGATGAAAATGTATCTCACACACAGCAGCCCAATTACTTAACTTCATTCCACTTATAAAGGCTACACATGAAGTCACTGTATTCATACAGCAGAGAGCAGCATGTCTGTCTGTGATACGTGGACTGTGTAACTTAATACTCTGTGTCTTTACCCAGCTCCCTGCAGAGTGGGTATTACGTGAGCAAATTGGACACTCAAACAGTCAGTGTGTGACCTTCCCTCATCCTGGATGTTGACCCCTGTATAAAGAGAGACATTATATCTTGTTACACAACAACACAGCGCCGGCGTTTCACTCCAGATAAAGAAAAATGTCTCAATTAAATCTTCACCGGAGCTCCCTGCCGGAGAGTTATCGCTGCCCCGGTAGCGCTGATCGCCACACTCACACATCCTCAAAAGTTATTTGACATAAATTGCCAGAGTCACATCATTTCCTGCCACATTCTAAGGGGGATTTATGGCTGATCCCACTGACTGGGAGCTGAACCTCCAATAAAATTCCTCAAGAGCCCATGGGGCTGGGAGAAGCACCTATCTACCCTCCATCAGGCCGTCTCCCACTGTACAGATTAACCATGCAAATACACACAGGTGGCAGTGTGATACTGACAACACATTTATGCACATAGGCTGATATGCATGTGGGCTATAATATGACCATGAGAGGAGGAGGACTGTGCACAAAGCAGTCTGAGTTTTATCTGATGTGGGATAAAAGAAGGGGAAACTGCAAAGCGGCTCAAGTAGGAAAGAATGTAAAATCATCAATTGCTTTAATATGATAATGAGAGGTGAGTGCTCCTTTGTGTTCTCTAGAGGATTTCCTCTTACGTGCAAAAACATCTGAGGGGAGTAATATTACTATAAGTCACCATATGGACTCTTGGAGAAAATCATGTACAACAGAAAACTGCCTAACATTAATGCCCAGGCAGTGTGTAGAAAGATGACTCTAGATAGCATTAGGAATCTTAATTTGTCTATTTATAAACAGGAACTTGAAGGAGGCACTTTGAGATTATACTCTGGACCGAACACATTTTTGTCAGGCTTAATGTCTCTCTCTAGTGGTGATGAGTGAAAAGTATAAGCTTGGAAGCTTCAGACCAAAGACACCCAGCCTATGTTATCCGTGGCACTCCAAGGGACACAAAAATTGCAAAATCTAAAATGTAGACAGCCTGTGTTATATTGTAATTCCTTATGTTTTTTTTATGTCCTTACCTATATTAGGCTAAAACTGAGGTTTAAAACTTAACTGCTAAGGCAACATGGATAAGAAGCCCTTAAAGTGCACAAAAAGGAGAAAATTCAACAAAATGATACAGCAGCACAGTGAAGGCCTCCTCCCAGCTTGGCACAGCATCTTTGTCAGAGGCTCGGCGGCAACAGCAGCTCCAGGGCTTCCAGCTGTGGCTGGCTGCTCCTTCTGCTTGCCTACCAGCATCGAAGCTGGAGGAGGTGGTGGCCCAGCCACAGGATTGCCCTGGGGCACATCACTTACACACCACTACAGAAAACTGAATTTTCCATCAATTTGCAATTTGATTTGAGGTCTGGAGCACTGATATGGCTATGAAGAGCAGAGAATCAGGATCATGACAGTATAATTGCAGGTCATCACTAACTGTATTCACTAAAACCTGATACAAAAATTATGCTGAGAATAAAGAACAGCAGACAAATTTTAAGTTTATCATCATTTGCATTAACTGTTTTAATTCTGCATTACATTATATTACACTTGACCAATGAGTCTGTACACATAAAGTTACATTATTGAGGACATAGTTGTCAACCTTACAGATGTGGTAAATAAAGAGTAGATAAAAACTTACATTTTGTTAACCCTTTTCTTACCAGGAAGTCCCACGGAGATCGAGATCCATTTTTCAAGGGAGAACATGAGGACAGTTCTATGAAAACAACAGTCAAGCCTTCTTTCTTTGCTGTATGAACAGAGACACCAAATATTAACATGAAACTGCGTGATCCAACTGAGATTTATTAGAAATCTGTAATACTGACAATGATCCTAACTTTTAACTAACAGCTTTAATTAAAAACATTATTATGAAGGCTACTGCTGAACAACAGTCACCGCATTTAATGCTAAATTTATTATTGCTTTTACAGCGAATAGCCACCATAATTTCAGGTCACTGTGTGCTGTTCCTCAGTTTGACCTCAACCAACTGTGACATCTCTGCACCATCAAAACAATACATGTTGCCTGGTCAGCACTGTATAATCATAACTGTTACTAATGCTCACACAAGTCAGAGACAATTAAACCTAATGCGAGTCATAGAATTGTAAGGGCTAAAGAATCAGGAAGATTCTCATTAAGAGTGTTAGCATTAGCTGCTTGTCTACTCCCAATTTGTGACATAAAATGCAAATATAATAGTGTTAAAAAAACAGCAATCCTTTACATGTAAGGTCAGAGGGAATTAGGCAGCATTTACAAAATGTACACAATTACACCCTTGTAACAGTATATTACTACTGCTCATTGGACAGCTTTAGTGAGTGCGCTGTATGTGTGCGTGATTGTGCGCCAACACGTTCTTTGCTTTAAGGACACTGCTGGCTAAATTGAAAATTAAATTGAGCATGTGGGGGTACAATATTACAAAATGTTGGTGGGAATCCCAAAACACAAGCAATCTGCCAACAGGTTTGTTTGCACCATGGAGATCTAGCGTTTTACTGAAACTACCATAATACTGATATGACATAGGGCACTGAAAACAGAGGTAGCTTAAAGTCTGTGCAAGTAACATAATGCGTCGTCAGTCAATTCACTGCCACTGCAGGATTCAAATTTGATTTTTCTTACATTCTTACCATCGAAAGAGTCCCGACTAGTGGCAGAAACAACTGACTGCAGTGAGGGGTAATGTATTAATCAGCCTGCTAGGTAATTAATTGCTTTTTCACTATGCAATAATCATATGCACATGAGCCAAGGGGTGAATGGGCTGCAGCCTCTTGCTGGTGTCTAGTTTACTATTTCTACTAAAGTGATGACCCTCAGTGAGCTAAAAGCTGGGAGGAGCCCAGCTGCTGCTAGAAACACTGACATGTTCGGAGCTCTAAAATCAATTGAATGAATGATGAATAAATAATATTTACAATGTCAAAAAGGCATGCATTACATCAGATCACGCACAACTGACACAAAAGACTCATAGCATGCTAAAAAAACTGAAGTGGGAAGAGAATAACATACACAAACCATTCTCTGAATAAATAGTCTGCCATATGTTGACTATCATTTCCAGATTGCTATTTGGTTTTGGCTGATTTAAAGTTCTCTGGCTGTCTTGTAAGTTACATATGCAGTTAGTATATGGTGCACAACCAGCCAGTAGTGGGGTTTGTAGCTCTGTATATACACAAGTTAAAGTTATTCCAGGTTTTGCTTAGCAGTCCAGCACTTGTTGCCTGGCCAGACTGTGTGAGCTTTGCAGAGGCGACTACAGACTACTACTGCAAGGCTGAGAGGCAGGACTTAAGTCTGTGACTAGGCTGAGGAACACTATGGCTACAGCTGGATGGTACTACTTGGGAGAAGTACAGGAAGTGGTCACCAGTAAAAGGAGCGAGACAGGAAGTTGGCAGCCGTGCTGAGCCAGCCCATGCCGTCTGTGATAGAACCTATGCGTGTGACCGCCTTGTCCTGCTCCCGGGACGGGCTCTCCTCCTCAGGCAGGTAGTCTGGGATGTCTGTGTTCTCCTCTACCAGCACCACAGAGTCTTCCTGGAAAGGGACCATCAGCTGAACAAAGATAAAGATATATTTAAAAAAAAAATACAGCAATGAGAATAAAGCGTTTTTCACCATGAAGAGTGTAATCTGTTCAAAACACCAATTTATAAGATTCCAGGATAAATGTAAAACAGCCTGAATCCATGACTGAGCCAGGTCTGACCCCTGCTGGTAACATTGTATATGACTACTAATGTCACCTTAGCCACTTTCAGCTATATCAGCAACAATTTATAGAATTTTGTGCAGATTATTGGAAGGCAAACCCTGCTTCAGTGTACAGTCATGTTTTGCAAAAAGCAACTAGCCTGCATGCTGAGGCAGTGATGTGACTAGCTAATCATGTCACTGTGAGGGCTACACACTACAGAGATGAACACAACATACAGCGAGCACACTGGCCTTTCAGGTGCCCAATCTCAAATAAAATAAACAAGTCTTTCTGTAGGTTATAACAGCTACAAGGTTACACTTTTACCTCTCCTCCACTGTCTGTCTTCACCACCTGCTGAGCCTTCATTACTTTGGTGGAGTTAATTGCTGTGCCCAACGCCTGTGGGAGAAACAGATGACTTGTGTTTTCATTCAAGAAAGTCAGCACACTTGTTTACAAATCGAACACTAATCTAGCTTTTTAAATTCAATTTAAATCTGTCTGTCACTTTCGGCTGTTCCCGGTAGGGGTCGCCACAGCGAATCATCGTGCTGATGACTCGCATGTGGAAATTTGGCACGTTTTACACCGGATGCCCTTCCTGACGCAACCCTGAATCGAACCCGGGCCACAGTGGCGAGAGCGCTGAATCCTAGCTACTAGTCCATCAGGGACCACTTTTAAATTCAATTTAAATGTTAATCCTAAATACGTCTGTTAGTCATCATTTATAATCACACAAACAGCATCGATGACAATGTTGTGAAGGGAGCAGATTCCCCACATTAAGCATCAACACAAGCATGTTTTGTTTAATTATCAATCAGGACAGGTACTGATAAAACAGTGTTCATTCCATAAATTAAACTGTACACATAAGAAACTGCACTGATGAAGATAACAACCAATAATCATTTGTTAACAGCATTGACAAAATAACTAATAATCATTTGTTAACAGCATTGACAAAAATATTATGTATCCCTGACATCTAGGGTGGTGGAAAAACACATACCTCAGCTTTAAGGTCAGAGCGGATCCTGACAACACATCTCTTGACAGCCATCTGGAAGGTGAAGCTGATGACCCCTCGGATCTTTAGCAAGGCCTCCTCACACAGGCCCCTTCGAGTCTGACAACAGACAGGAAACAGTTGAAAGTGTGAGACAAGGTCAACTTGTCAAGAAAAGATTGTTGCTTCAAGCTACATTATATAAGATATGAAATGTGGATAATGCAGAATCATTAACAGATGAATTAGGTCAAACGTGGGCCCAAATAAACCCTATAACTGCTACATACAACATGCCAATTACTAAAACAGTTTAACATGGCTATAGTTTCCAGCTGCCACAATGATGTGTGTTTCTGCTGTAGGGATAGTGGTGCAGCCCACCAGACGCCGTCTGTCTGCTGTGATGCAATCTGACTAGGTGCAATCTTCATGCAAAACAGCATTCAGGTTCAGTCTCAGTGTCTTACTGTTCACTGTCCTACTGCTCAGTGTCTGACATTTACAAACGGACCTCTCCACCATCCTATCCTGTGCCAGTCAGACACCACTAAGACACACTGTGAATATGACAGCAGCAAGCATGATGTCCCAAAAACTATTTCTGTGCTCGAGTTTTCTTGACTTTCACACGCACACTGTGAACACTTACAGAGTCATCCAGGCCATCAATGTGCAGCACCACAGTTTTGGCCCTCTTGTTGTTGGAGCCCAGAAAGAAGTGGGCTTTACGACGGCAGGAGGCAGCAGCTGCCTCTGCCTGTTCAGCCTCTTCTTTACCAGCTGACTGCAGAATCTCATAGATCTCAGAGGCCAGCAGCTTGGTCTCCCCAGGTGATGTACCTCTTTGGTGAGTGAGAGTTTTAAAAAAAAAGCAAAGAAAAGGGGACAAATGAAAATAAATTAGGCATCCTGTGTTGCTTAATTAGTTGCACACGTTCAGTACCATCTGTTGTGCTTACATAATGTTTTTGGAAGCATATGTGTAACAAAACTAAAAGTGGAACGCAGCTCCATGTAGGTGTAACTGATGAAAAGAACAGGTTAACAGAATCTTGTGCACTTGTAAATGGCCACATTACTAAGTCAAGAATTTTTTTTGAAATCCAACACCAATGCAAACACAAACAAATCATGGCGTCTGTATGCCGCTGTGGGAGAGAAGTGTGAACTGTGCCTAAAACTGAATTGAATTCATGAAGCTCCTCGAGGCAAGTATGTGATTTGTGATACTGGGCTGTAAAAATAAATTCTAACTTAACTTGATTAAGGTCCCATTTTGCAATTTCCAATGGATGTGGCCTGAATTTAACCATGTCCTTCCTGGTCTGGTGCTAGGAGACCTAAAACTGAGCTGCTGACACAGGGAGTCACAGTGACAGCCTTATCACCACCTGACTTCACAGTTAATTTAGACATGCTGTTAATCTTTGAGTCCGTTTAGCCCCATATTCTTTGAACATCTATGTAGTGTACCAGAAGACAATGCTACTGTGCTACAACACAACCTTCACACATGTTAATTAAAACCTTTCAGCACTTTCAGTCATGCTGTTATTGCCCTTCTAGCAAAAAAACAACAACAAAAAAACAAACAAACAAAACAAAGCAGGGCATAATTTTTGGTGGGCAGCAGCTTTCGTTGAAGTCGGATGAGGTCAGATGCTTTTGCAATGCCAGAACAGATCCTTTCTGAGGGATCCTGGGATTCCCCTCCAGGCTACATTGCTTTACATGTCACCAAGTCACCACTCCTTTGCTAGTAACCATTTATGACACTGGCTGTCTGGCATGGCTGCCCTCAGAGAGCCTGGTGCTCTCGGGCGCTCTGCAACACATCCCTTCTCTGAATCTATGGAAGCCTGTCAGCTTTTCAGAAAAAAAAACAATTTGCTTCAATTTGTTTTTTGTTTCAGCATTTTATGTGTCAAATAAAGTGCAACATCCACTTCAGCTTCAGTTCTTAATGAGTTGCAGGAATAGAGATAGTATTAACACGTTTTGTGCAGCTATTAAACATTCCCCCTCAGCTATGTGTTCCCACTCTGTTCAGCTATGACCAACCTCTACCCAAAGTCCCTTGATTGGACTGTAAGCAGGGAGAGCTGTTGCAGGTACTGCAGGGCTCCTCTTGATGCCATGCTTGATTAGCTGAAGTGACTGACTTACTCCAGGGTGAGCAAGAGCTTTGACACAGGGAGACAAGTTGGGGAAAAACTAAATCATACAAGCAACACTTAACCATTTGAACATGGGTCTATTCCTGTCAGGGTGCTAATGACGAACAGCAGTCACTGCCACAAACCTTTGAGTACAATCACATCACCGCCTCATATCAAACCTCCCTCTAACACTTTGAGTAACCAGAATGTGTTTATCAAGTTCTTTTAAATGTTTAAAATTGTGTACAATGTTTCTACAAAAGCCAACAATGAGTATCAAACTAAAACCAAACAACCAAGCAAAACACTTTCAGTATACACTACAAAATAAGCATTTATAAGCTTACACCAATAAAAACATACAAATGGACTATAAACTAGAGAGGTAGCAGAAAGCATTCAATTCTATGACATGCACAAACATCTATTTATCAAGTGACCTCCTTATTCTAATTCAATTTTAATCATATTCATTCTGAAATGGCAAATGAAAGCATATCATTCTGCCTGGAAAATCTGCAGACAGGTGCATATCGTACATGTACAACAAAAGAAATCCTAGAGATTTCACATAAAGAAAGTGCACAGTGAGCGTGTGTGTGTGTGTGTGTGTGTGTGTGTGTCAGATGTGGAAGTGACAGGAACTTACTTCTGCATGACATTCTGCAAACTCAGCATCATGCCCAGCTCGCTCTTCATCTTCTCCCTGTTGGCTCGACATTCTGCCAGGTAGCGCATGGCCTGCAAGGACAAGGGCAACAGTTATCTATCCAGTGCTAAAAACTGACAGGCCTATTGTGATATTATGAGAGCTTTTCAAAAGGGTGCGCATGTGCAGTGCTAAAATATTACATAACATTTCACACACAAGAACACACTGACCCTGTATTTACACATCACAGGTTACCATCGAGAAGCAACTATTATTACAGCCACTTTAATGTGTACAAGGCATAGTACATGCCTTGTACAGTACATCTAACAGGGTGGTGATGGTGGAGAAAGTCAAGAGGCTGCTACATTAAGACTCTGTTGTGTTTACTCCACAAAACAGACAGCAGATGCCACCATTCCACCATGTCTTAAATCTCGTTTTACAATGCCACCATGTGTCAGCGTATGACTGGAGAAAATGGCCATTAGATGGGCACTGAAACACAAACTCTGGATAGGACAGGGCTCCAATTGCTGGTTAAATTTTGAATCTGGTTCCAAATTGGTACAATACCTGAATTCATTGTGCTTCACGGCCAAAAATTGCTTATCAAGTTATCAAGTCGGTAGTGTCTCTGACACTACAAGCATCAGCAAAGAGAGGCTGATGTAGAAAAACTCATAATAACACAGTAATGCCATTGTACACTAATGTTAGGTTACATATTATGTGTTCCATAGAAAAGAAGTCTGGAAAAAAAAGGTGTAAAGAAATATGGCAGACCTGTTTAACTGCTCTGAAGTGAAGTAAATAACAGTGCAACTGCAAAATACAATATCTGTAGAAAGGTACTCATGAAGAAAGAAGACGAACAAGTCCTTTGTTTAAATATTTATCTACTGTCCAACATGTTGAAGTAAGAACTGGTGTTATCGAGCGCTCAACTGCAGCCTACCACAGATGCTGCCCCGTATTCTGTGACCGTCAGATTCTGGCACCTGTAGCACTGCAACAACTAGCTCATGTTCAGGCAATGTTCATTGTGTAACTAACTGATATTTGCTGAATGATAAAGAAGAATCAATATCATTGTGTTGTTTTTTCTTGTGCAGCTGCAGCAAAGCCCCCATGTGAGAAACAAATGCAGCATAAAGAAATAAGAGTGAGGGTTAATGAATTTCACAGAGCAGTGACAAAATGTGTCCAAAGTCCTACAACCTGACTATTCAATCCAAACAAATGTAACTAGCTAGAGCAGGTATTTCAAGGGAAATGTTTACATAATAATTTTACTGGGTATTCAATCCTTGATATAACTATATGTACTACAGACATAGATGCTGCTTACCAACAGTGCAGAGTAAACAACCTGTGGGTTGGGGTGGTCCAAAAAAAGGATGAGACCTGGCAGACAGCCTTGGTCTTCTATTATGGCTCTTCGGTTCAGGGGGTCTGCAGCAAGGTCTCGCAGCTGGTTCACCACAGTCAGTGCATCTGCCTCTGCACTCATGGTGCCAGTTGTCTTGATGCCACACACATCAAACCAACCTCTTCACTTTACTGAAAAAGGAAATATGAGGCAAATCTGTGAGCTTATATATCAAGGCTGTATCAAACAGTTATGTCATTATCTGATAATCTCTAGAGCTTCTCACTTAATTGTCTGGATAACAATATGTCAGTAAATAAGTAAAAATGTCCTGTGTGACGCCCTCAAATGCCTTGTTTTTATGATCACCGGTAAATACTCAGATTTACAATAACACAGAATATAGACAAGCTGCAAAGTAGTTAAAATATTACTTTTGTTGTCGGAGTCCAGGAATGACACAGTGAGTCTTGTAACGATACAGACTGTACGTACTGACTATAACATTATCGTTTATCATACGAAAAAAACAAATAACTTAGCACGATTTGGTTGCAAGTTCTTACAGTCACACGATTCATTCATATATTTTGGTATTAACACACGCAAGCAATTTTCAGACGACAAAACACAAATACTCATTTATGACAAAGACTTTCTATGACCCCTAACATCACTTCAAATCACGCCCTGTGGTATGGTGGCGATTCAGCTGCTAAGCTAGGCTAGCTAGCATCACTTAATAATTATAGCCTACCTTTTTGTCCGTTTTCTGTAAACTCATGAGATAACCTCGGATTACTTCAGTCAAAACGACGTAACAAGAAGCAGCTATTTTCCAGTATCACTTCAAAAACAAATGTAACAAATTAATTTCAGTATGTAATGAGGCCTGCCCCTCTTTCTTTACTGTGGTTCTTGCTAGCAGCTGTGCGCACAGACACTGAGTTCGGGTTTTGTGACACATGAATGGGTACAACCGTTTTGTGATTGAAGGCGTCCTAGTTTTCCATAAGGATTCAGGCATTTTAAATTGGCCACAGCTACGCCGGGCAAGGTAGGTACACATAACGAACATCCACAGTGTTCCGGGCATATGATTGGGCGGTGTAATTTGATCGACTGACATAAAAAACAACCAACAGATAGTTTTGTTTCTCAAATTTAGTTGGTGGATTTTTCTGTCAATCAATACAAATACCCAACAGTGGCGCTCCATTCCCTCCATACACTGGAATAGAACTATGAGCCCGCCCACACTACACCCGCAGTACATTGTGTTACAAAAACTAGTTGGAAAAGGTAGAATATGGATATTAACATGTGTTGTTTTGCTATCGCACGTCAGGGATAGTGGTGGATTAAACAAGGCGTTCTGAACACTGAATCACTAAAAATCAATTGTGATGGAAATATTTTACTTTCAACGTATTTGACAGTAAAAAAAAATGGCGACCTCTGTTGGCCTTATCCATGATACTGCATTTGAATTGGTGAAGTGAATCTGAGACAATGCTAAAACTGTTAGTCAAAATACCAGTTGTTATTATTATATTATTTTGTTCAATGAAACTTGTATCCTGAACTCGTAGTTGAGTTTTTTTCCTCATATTTATGATATGCACTTTACACCTTGTCTGAAAATCATCAGGGTTGTAATTGAATTATTCAGTATTAAAGTAATTCAGTGATACTTGTCAGTACATCCAATAGTTAATAGCGGTTAAAAGCTAATTTGCTGTTCTTAGTGTTTCAAAATGTAAACTCATATAAAGGGTAAAAAAAAAGAGCCCCCAAGTTGCAGCCCACAATGTTAACTCACTAAAGCACTAAACTGGTGTTTCAAGCCTGCCAACCTTGTTTTTAATAGAGGACCCTTAACCCACCATATGTCACTACCCAGCTTGCATCCAGGTGCTCCGGAGCCCTAGAGGACAATGACTGGCATCAATGAGGCCTTGCAAATCCTTACACTAGAAGCAATTACACTGTGCCCCATTGCAGTAATACACATTTTCCTCTAGATAGCAAACAGACTTTGACACATGTATCACCCCCATCACCAATTTTGGATTCAAGACCAGCAAAAATCCCCAACATGGATCATGAACAATGTTAAGTTGTCTTCAGACAAAATATGCCGACTACTCATATAATACATTGTCATACTTGTGGAAGTGACATATTTAAATACGATTGGGTATCAGAGTTTAAAAGAAAAAAAAAAAAGTGTTACATTTGACCCCATTCTCCTCTACCAGCACAGACCTGTGTGAAAGTCAAACATTTGTCAACAACAGGTTTTATTATTCAAACTGTAACTGCAACAAGCATGTATCAAAAAGGTCAATACAGCAAAGCCTTTACAAAATCTGGCTCAGCAATGAAGTCTTCCCAAAAATGGCTGTCGCAACAAATTGTAAACAATTTTATCAACAGTCTTACAGCACTTACAGCAAAATACAAATCAGCTAAAGTAAGAAAAGCACCTGTTATCTTTCAAAATGTTGAAACACAAACACAATTTGTGTCACCATACAGAATCAAAGTAGACAAACCAAACACAAAGAAATGGAATGTTCAAAGTCACTCGATCTTTGTTTCCGTACAAAAACAGGACAGCTGGAGTTGTTCCTTACAACAAAAAGGCAAAGGGATTGGACAGTGCATTCAAAGACAAGCACACCATGCACTTGATGGGAACAGGAGTTGGTTTGGTCACTTAGCATAGTTTGTGCATAGTAATAAGGCATTGACTAAGCAGTACATTAGGTAGCATGTGGCTATGAGAGACATTCTGCGGAGAGGGACAGTCTCCTTCTGTAGATCCTAGCAATGCGTCGCATGCAGTTGCCTCCTCCCCGTCCCCCTCTTGATAAGAGACCTGCAAAACCCTGAGCAAGTCGAGTTGTGTTGAGTTCCAGGTGAGATGCATGTGCAGTGGGTAACTGATCTCCAGTCTGGGAGGGAAGCTACTCTGAGTTCAACCAGCACTGGAAGAAACGTGATCAGAAAAGGGCTCATTTCTGAAAAACCTTAATAGACTGTCTTGAAGATGTCATGGAGACAAAGCTGCACATCCAACACCGTCGTTATTTGGGGGTGCAAGAACACATTTTTGCACAGGACGAGTTACTTATGGCATCTGGTGTGTTTGAATAAGGTTCCGCTCAAGGCTTCAACAGTGGGATGACAAGTTCAAACAAGTGGTTCATCTGTGCTTCGAAGGCAAACCGTGGAGCTGACTTGATTCACTTCAGTTCAAGGGAAAGAAACAACAAACAAGAAGATGCATAAACAGTCTTTGTAGAGGCAGCAAAAGGACTGGGCTTGTCACATTTTTTTTTTTTACATGAGGAAGAATCTTCAATACAAATGCAACATGGCATTACTTTAAAGTCTTAGGAGGGTCTCATGTCTGAATACTCCAGGTTTCTCAGTTAATTATGTTAAGATCTTTCTTAAGATCTTTGTTTTAAATGGCACTTCTAAATACCAGAAAAATGTCTTTCAGTTCTTATACTGATTTCCTTTTAAAGTAAAAAATGCAGTGTGTTCAGTCAGTAATGCCAAAACTACAGTGGACAAATAAATAAAACAAAGCTAATAAAAGAAAATACAGCAGTAGCCAAATGAGGTATCTATGTATTGCTCTATGCCAAAAAAGAGTAATTACAAATTAAATAAATTAAATAAAATCAGTGGTTAATCAAGATGCAACACCAAGAAGCAACAAAACAGAAACAGGGTGTTAGTATCTAATAATGCATCAGCAGGGCTGCAGGCTATCAGCTGCCCCGCTGGCCCTCAGTGTGTGGTGAGGCCAGAGTCATGGGTCTGGAGGTTGAGGTGAAAGGGCACACAAGGAG